GTTGGAAGCATCATCCCTTAAATGGACCCTATATTACGTAATACACATTTAATCGGAGCTTCAATGCACACCAACTAATTGATTATGACTTCAATTCATTGTACTTGGAGCTGATAAATATGTCCCTCCATAAATAGGTTAGTGTGGGTAGATATTCTTTTCCTCTTTTCCCAATACGCAACGAGCTTCATCGAGAGTAGAAAAACTTATATGTACCCAATGTTTACACTATACTATATTAACTTATTATGACTATATAACAAAATGATGTGAGAATATATATTAACTAGTAAAATTACCCGCGCTTCGCGCGGGAATTTAATATCACAGAATTTATAAAATAATACTTAAAATCTATCAGGCATTAAAACTAAAACATTATATTATCTTACATACAAAATTACGTAGTAACACACATTAAAAATATAAAGGAAAATGAAAATTATTACAACTCATCATTTATCCTTAATAACATAAGCATAAATTAATGATTGTATAAATACATACCATAATCTGTAACATAAGTAATAGTGTCAGTGAGTCACTCAACAGAAACAAAGTACACAAATATTTATTTAATTGTGAAGAAGATGTTCAAAATTTTCGTTATTTTAAAATGAGAGGAAATCCCTCTATTTATAGACAACAAAAGGTAGTGTGAATAAAAATGTTTATTGTGCCTTATAAAAAAGGTTACAACTATTTGGAAAAGTTACAACCCTTCGGAAAGGTCATAACTTTTCATAAAAGTCGCAACTCTACTTTTTATAAAAATTACAACTTTTCATGAAAGTCACAACTCTTCATTAAAGTCGCAACTTTTCATAAAAATCACAACTTATCATATATATATATATATGATTAAAACGAGTTAATCGATAAAATTTTAGGTACAAACTCATGTCATGCAATTACTAGTGTGTACAAGCACATCTTTATTTTATGTGGGGTAGAAATAAGAAGAATGATTACTCATACTAGGGACCATGCACTTAACTCTTGCTGCACTAATTTCAGAACCACTAGGCTCAATTGTATTTCATTTACTAGAATACTCTAGAGATAAGGTCATGTATATCTGACGTTGAGAGGTCACACACACGACTGAACTTCATGCATATGTGGCTAAAACTCAGACATTTTTGCACGAACCTCAAGCACATATGACTGAAATTCAAGCAATTTTTTTGCATAAACTTTAGACATATACGACCGAATGAAGTTTAGGCGTTTATGTCTGATGTTTCAAATGGGCTCAAATTTGAGATATAAGTTTCAAATATCATAAAGAAACAAATCATAAATTATCAATTTGTCAAAACTAACTCATTTTGCAATAATGATGATTCCCCAAATGATATAAGTTTTTCCAACAACATCTACTTGATTTAAACTTAACTTTCATATTCAAGATTCAAGACCACTTCATCAAACTTCTTCAAAGCTTTATACTTCAATTGCCATAGATTCAAAAAAATTACTATTGAAGAAGAAGAAGTGTGTTTTCTGTGATGTTTGCCACAACTGTGTACACGTTAAATAATTCGAAAAAAAACTTAGGTGCAAACTGAGTACAACATGAAATTTTAACGCGGGAGTGAGCACAAAGAGGACGGAACAAATCCATGAAGATCCAAGTAGCTATTCAGGAGGAAGCAAATGACAAATGACTGTAAATCAATTTCAGGAGGTCACTGTCCAGAACAATACAATCAACTAAACATTGTCCCATACCATAAAGAACTAAAGAGATAAAATATACCAAAATATATACTAAAAGTAAGGTATTTCCCCATATATTCTTAACTCTTTTCTTTTTTATGACAAGGGAACCCGCAGTTTTCACTCCTGTGAAATAGTTAGCAAATCACACAGGAGAGGTAAACCATTTGTGCCCCCGTTATGGAAGTCCCAAGCCAAACCATTTGAGCCGGCCCGAAGGGTATATATTCTGAACTTTTATTTGGAAGTAATACTTCCAAATTATCACATTATCATGCAGCAAGATTTCAATATCCAGCAGAATCTGATAAGGATCAAATTATGTTGAGACTTAAAACGCAGTACTAAATCCTCTCTGTCTCTCCAACATTGGTTATTGAGGGGAGATTTTTTTTGTTTCTCCTTTGCCGACAATCAATGAGCTTTGTCCAGAAAAAAATACTTACCCACATGAAGTTATAATGACTTATTGCAGTTGTATGATACATAAATGACTATTCATAATAGGGACCATGCACTTACTCTTGCCAAAGCACTAGTTTCAGGACCACTGGGCTCAATTGTAATTCATTGACTAGTGACGAGTGTACTCTATGGAAAAGGAGTAGGGACGCAGCCCATCATTTCTGAGTTCCAAAGGTAGTTGTTGGTCCCAGACCGAGAAAAAACACAAGACTAGCATCTGCATAGTTCAAGTGGAGAACAACATTTACAGAAAAAATCATACTCCATATGTAGACGCTGCCTAATTACAACGTTCTCCCCATCCTAGAGGCAAATTAGAGCAGATGATATCCCCAATCATGTCTAGATTGTCCAGTAAATTCCCAAATATGCAACACTACACACAACAGGTAACACTTGCACAGACCCCGTCCCCCTTGAAGGAGTGGGGGTAAAACAAGAAGAAACAAATACATAAATATCTCTCTAAGTAGCTAATAAATTTATTCAGGAGGAAGCAAAAAGCAAATCTAAAAAAAATCTGCAAGTGGCCTATAAATCAATTTCAGGAGGTCACTATCCAGAACAAATGCACATATTTTTTTTAACATAAGACAGAGTAATCAACTTGCCATTGTCCACAAAAAACTAAAGAGATAAAAGATACCAAAATCTATACTAAAGGAAGGAATTTCCCCATACATTATGCATTTCTTTAGAGGTAACATCCAAATTATCATTCACCAAGATACAATGATCCAGCAGAATGTGAAAAAGATATCTGCTCTTTTCAAGATATATATGGTTTAGCTTTCACCACTATTGAAAATTTAGATACCGTATATTTCATTTTGTGATCCTAATAAAAAGTTAATTCACAAAACAGATACTCCTAATGATAAGCATCTTTCTTGATAATGAAATGTATCTATATAATAAATAAATACAGATCACGATGGCTCGTCCATGTTCCAATGTACTCCATACAGCAAGCACTTGACATGGACACATCTTTCTTGATAACAAGGAGCTTAAGGCCGTTAAAACATGCCCCTCCGTTTAAAAAAGAATGACCTACTTTCCTTTGTAGTATGTTTAAAAAAGAATGGCCCCTTCACTTTTTTAACACTTCAATTTCAATTTTTCACGTGACATGTTTAAGGCCACAAGATTAAAGGGTCTTTTGTACATTTGACTTAACTTTAATGTAGGACCACAAGATTGAAAAATCTTCTTTATTTTCTTAAACTCCGTGCCAAGTCAAACTAGGTCATTCTTCTTCAAATTGAGGGAGTATGAAATATCTGAAGTTGTGCTAAAAGATATATGCACACCTGAACTCATTACTTTTACCTATAAATCAAAATTGTCTTTGGGATCAAGGAATTTATGTTGCTCGGACTCTTCAAAAATATTTCCACGTGCATGTAGGATCCTCCAAAAGTAGTTCATTTTGGGAGGATTTGACACAGATGCAACCATTGTTCAGGAAAGTGAGCGCTTCCTCGCTTTAAGCGATGAAGCGAAGTGAGGGTGAAGCAAGGCATGTGAAAGAAGTGACCGCTTCTGGGCTTGAAGCGCGATGCACCAGAGGTGGTGAAGCGAGAAAAGCAACACTTTTATATTTTTTAAGTAATAAGTGATCGATTTTAAAGAATAAAAAGAGGCATGACTTACCTAGTTCTTCTTCTTCTTACTGGTGCAACTAGCCTCGAATTTTCCTTCTTTTTTTCCACTTTGTTTTTATTCTGTTTTCCTTTGCCCTGTTTAGCCTTGATTATTTAAATTATATATCGCTGATTATTTTTTTCCTCACAATGATTAAAATATACATTGCTGAATTGTTTTATTTCTTAACAATGACTAGAATGTAGTTGATTTTTTTCTTAATAGTGATAAAAATATAATGTTAGATTATTTTTCTTAAATCTTATCCGTGTTTACAAATGGCTGACCCGGCATGAGAATATGGGAAAAAAGTTAGTGTGACCAATAGGACAACAATTGTATGTCTATTTTGTGATAAGACAACTAAAGGGGAACCTTTTTCTAGTTTTTTAATATGTATTTTTGATTATATATTTTGTCTCTATTTATTTTGCACTTTTTTCTTTTAAATTGTGCTTCCCTTCAATGAAGAAAGCACTTCGCTTAAAGCGTGAAGCGGGACCTTGTCGCTTTTTAGCGCTTTGCACTCCCCTAAACACTGGATGCAACAACATTTTCAGAGAGTGTGAGCACATAGCAAGCAAGCAAATTTACGTTGTGATTACCAAATATTGTCTTTGGCATATCCCATCAAATAATAATTTCCATATGGTGTGGCTGAATAAATATGAATGGATCAGTGTTATCAAAAGCAAAAAGCACAAAATAAACTCTAAGGTCAGTTGAGGTTTTAAGCGCAAATATTTGAAAATAAATTACAATAAAGTAAAATATCAATTGTTTATGTCGTCTCTCAGAGAGGCGAATTGGAAAGAAAAAAATATGCATTAGAATCTTGATGACCACACTAAAGCGAACATTAAGCAAAGCAAAGCGCTCTACACGTTTTGAGCCTCACTTCAGGGCTTAAGCACGCCTTTGACAAAACTGGAATGGATAAGCAATAGAGGTATGTACCAACAAATGTCACAGATGGTAGAACATGCAAATTGGTCCTATTATAGTAACTGCAGTTGCACACGTGTTTAACTGAAAAGCAGCTCCTTCGAGTGATGCTAGTCGTTAGAACACGAAGATGACTGAGCACAGTGCAAAATTCTCTTTGCCACTCATCCCATGTACTAAAACAAACATACAGCAGTGTAAAAAGGACAACGTGCAGGCATTATTTTAAGTCTCAATTTCCTGCTGTTACTTCTGTATGACTGTCCCTCGTAATGTTCTCATATGTGCCAATAAATTTAATTAGCCATCCAAGATAAAAGATCTCAAGAACATTTTACCTCAGAAATGGCTTGGAAACAAACAAGTTGGTCACATTGCTCCAGTCTTCATAGGTGCACCAAGGGTCCACTCCAAGTTCCAAAAGAGAATGTATCTTTACTTGTTGTACAGGAAATGCCTGCTGAAAATATTAGCTACATCTGCTGCTGGGTTTTAGCTCCCACTTCCCTATCTCCATATCAAATGATTCTTCTTGCATGCGAGCATCTGTAAAGAAGCAAATTCTAGGTCATCCGTGTATGCGGACATCTTCCTGGGCCCAGCAATAAGTGATAAATAAATTTACAGCAACTGCAAGTACATATTCCCCAAAAGGCTACATCCTGATTGGAATTGAGACATTTAGATAAGTAGCTTCTAACATATAAGCAAGATTTCGATAAACAAAAGCATGGCTTGGCGAAGGAAGAAAAAATATAGCAACTAAAACATGAGTGTCAAAGTGCAACTAATTACACAATTGATGCCGTAAAGAAGCATAAAGACAACAGAATCAATTGCCTGCATATTATCAAATGGAGCCATTAATCAAAGTAAATGTTGAAACTAATCCCAAGGGTGTGGCCTAGCAGTCAATAAAGTGAGATGAAAACAATCGAAGACCAGTGTTCAAATTGCACCAGAAGCAAAAAAAAAGAAGGTGATTTCTTCACATCTACCCAAGCTTTACTAGCAGGTATACCGTGAAAAACGAATCGACATCTCGATGTGATAAATCCTTTCAATTTTAGTTGGGAAAGAACGGTGAATTACTTCAAGTGTGTGTAAGCTGACAAGGACACTACCCTTGTCAAAAAATAAATAAAATGAAGTGTTGAACAGCGAGTGCTGAAGAACAAGTGAATCAGCATTACAGAGAATCAAAGCCAGACACTACATTACTATAATTGTATAAAACAAAAATGTAGAGAAAGAAAATATGGAGGATACTAAATGGGACAATTCCAAATGATAATAAATCATATGTTGAAGCCACACTGATGTAGTTATCAATCATTTGTTGTAAAGAGGAAATAAACCACATATGTTTAGAAGACAAAGCTGACTCTGTACATAACTTGAATTCAAGTGCTTGTATGTAGTCACTATCTGATGTAATCTTCAGAATGTGTATGAAGTGGATACCTAGTGAGATTTCCGACCTCACTACAGGATTAGTTAGGACTACCTGACTGAGTCAGTTTTTGCACACTCCCATCATATCTTATAGCTGGTTTTTGTAATTAGTAATATTCTTGCTGAGTTATCAAGAAAAAATTTACATTGCTTCTGAGACCCCTATTGGAGAAGTGAATTTAGTCTTTTGTCTATGCCCATTACTCTTACCGGATATGAATATAATTTTACAGATAGTCAAGATGAGTATCCAACACACAGCTCACATCCTAGCCTTCAAAATTGATAAGTGAAAAATTGGAAAGGAAGGAATTATGCTCAAAATAGAAGAATCCATAGCGCTGCTAGGACACCCATTAAAAAAATGGTGCAACCACCTTTCTGAACTCCTGATTGTCAATTATTAACCCAATTCACAATAACGGAGCAAGAAACTGAGGCAAATATTGTTGCAATAGAAAAGCATTCTCTGATATTGACCAGAAATAGAGCCCCTTACTCCAGGCAAGTAAGCAGGTTTCTATTCCTTCTTCCGTGTTCTTTATTTCTTTGAATAGGTAGGTAAACATTTATCAAAAACAAAAGCAGAAGGAATCCTGCTCTACAAAAACCCATTCCTGTAAAGGTTCTATGAATTTTAACATGCTATGTTCATCCTTTGTATTATACATATTACACCAACAGCTACAAACATTTGAATTTCAGCATCTGTGTAGTATCTGGCAAGGTAGGATGTCCTTAAGTTCAATACACGGTTTAAGATTGTTCATCCTTTACATCATATATATTACACCAAAAAAGCCAGCAGCCATAAGCATTTGAATTTCATCTTCTGTGAAGTATCTGGCAAGGATGTCCTTAAGTTCCAATACATGGTTTAAGATTAAGGCACAGTTATTGTGTGTATGACTTACCACCTCCACGAAGAAACATAAGAATTCTACCAGCAGCTTATTACTTCAGCAACTGGAGCTTGGAACTGTGATAGTACTCTTTTAAAACAAATATGAGATAAGTTGTCTGGGAGTACCATATTTGAATTAATTGCAAGAACTGCTGAATCAACTGATAGAAAGCATAAGGTGTAGGCATAAATCTTATGAGAAGAATCTTTGAAAGATAGTAACTAATATGAGTGGTATATAATCCCATCCATCAATTTTAGTTGTCACGGAGTTTGATAAAATATTTAAAATCAACAGAGGGGGTCGACGTCTTCAAATATCGCTCAGGCTTAACCAGAATTACGGAAAAGATCGCACTTCAGAATTTGTGAGTTGACTGTCACGCTACTCTACACTACTTCCACTTTCAACAAAAAGAAGGCAGATCTAACGCAAGCAAGATGAATTGTCAGACACTCTATTGACAAAATTTTCAATCAACTTTACCTCTTGCTTTGCTTGTTAGAACTCCATAAAGTGGCAGATATGCATAGCTTTATCAAATGACATGTTCATTGCTTCTCTGGTCACGTCTTTGTCTATTTTGCTTCAGAATATTTCACTAATAACCAAACATGACAGCATAATAGCATACTTGAATGTCCCAATAGTAACCCCAATATCCAGCTTCCATCTCACCTTTCAACCAAAGCTCGAAACTTTACTCTCCTTTTAATGCTACCCTTTATCCAATGCCTCAGCTTTCAACCAAAACTCGAAACCTTACTCTCCTTTTAATGCTACCCATCCTGTCATATCCAATGCCAATCTTACTATGCATCAACTTCACTGCCAAATCAGCATTCCCTGTCTTCCTCAATGCATTAATCAAAACAGTACGAACTTTTCCAGGAATTTCTCGACCTCTATCCACAATCCCATCAGCTAATTTGCAAGCTTCTTTTATACGACCTGCCTTGCATAGAACATTTATCATATCTTCAAAAGCTGTCTCCAGGATAACACCCATTGGTGCCAGCTCATCCAATATTTTACATGCTCTTGCCACCTTGCCAGAAAGACAAAGGCCAGTTGAAAGGGCTCGAAAAGAAGCAGCATTTGGAGTTATACCCTTATCAATCATCATATGCCACAATTTAAGTGCTTCTTCATTTTGATGTTCTTTAAGCATGCCGCTGATCAATATTGTGTATGTATAAACTGTTTGATCACAACCTTCATCTTCCATTCTCTTAAAAAGCACCAAAGCTTCATCGATTTTCCCATTTTTGGCCAAGGCATCGATAAGCGCATTATAACAATAAGAATCACGTGTACATCCCTTCTCAGCCATCTCCTCAAAGAGTTCTCTCGCCTCATCAACTCTCCCTGCCTTTCCTAGACCATCAATAAGACTTGAATAAAACATGGCGTTGATAGCTACATTGTTATTTTTACAGTACTCAAGCCACTGCATGGCCTCATCCAACCTCTCACTCTTGCATAAACCATTTACAATAACCCCAAATGTTACCTCATCCGGTTCAAATCCTTCATTCTTCATTCTATCAAAAAGTCTCATAGCCTCATCCAAGTTTCCATGTTTCATGTATGAATCAATTAGAGCAGTATAAATTGACAGATTAGGTCTAAAACCTTTCTTGATCATATTTTCAAAAACAGTAAACCCTTCCAAAACCTTCCCCATTTTACAAAACCCTCCAATCACTAACGTATAAGCGTGTGGTGGAATATCTAAGTCCTTTTCCTCCATTTCGTGATAGAGTCCCAAACAAGAGTCAAAATCTCCCTCCGCGTAACACGTTTGCATCAGAGTCATGTAGGTAATCTTGTCAGGCTCCACTTTCCTAACCTCCATAGCTCTAAATTTCTCCATTGCTTTTTGAAGCTTCCCAGATCTGCAGTACCCCTTAATCATAGTATTATACGTAACAATATCCGGATTAACTTTCCCGCTTTCCATAACCTCAAAAACGCGTTCAGCAGATTCAATAAACATGGAATTCACCAGTCCATTCATCAAAAAGTTATAGGTATATAAACTAGGCTCAATACCATTTTCTTTCATTTGTCGCCACACAAATAATAATTCTTCAACCATCCCAAGTTCTCCAAAACTCCTAATCAAAGAATTAACAGCTGCCACATTCATCAAGAAACCTTTATGCTTAAATTCACTAAACACATGCTTAATCCTATCCAATTCACGTGAAGCAGATAAAATCTTAACTAAAAACACATAGCATTCACAATTATGAGCATACCCTTTTTGCTTACCAGCCCAATAAAAGAAACGAAACGCGATATCGGGTTTACCTGTAAGGTAATCTGACTTCAACACATATGCAACAAAACTAGGCGATAATTTGATGAGAAATTTGCAACAATAAACATCTAAATTCTGCTCCATCAATGGTGAATTGTCTAAAAGATTCAAAATTTGAGACACCCATGGCGACGGTTTGAGATCTTTGCGGTCTGTGACTAAGTCAGAAAGATCAATGAATGGCTGCACCCATTCTGGAGGTGGAAGGTTAGAACCAGTGTATACCCATTTGGGTTTTGAAGTGAAATTTACATAAAAATACAGTTTTTTGGATTTGGGAACTCGAAAAAGAGGAAAATTCACCCATTCTGGAGATGGAATGTTAGAATTAGTGAATACCCATTTGGGTTTTGAAGTGAAATTCAAGTAAATACATTGTTTTTCCGATATGGGTATTCGGAAAAGAGGAATCTTTTTAATGGAATGAGTCTGACTAGAGCGAAATGGATACAGAGGATTGATGTAATCGATCCCAACTTGTTTGAAACTGCGAAGTATTTGATTGAGTGATTGGTTGTGTGAAGGGTGAAAATTTGTTTGTGCCATTGCTGAGGTTAGTGGTGAATCTTGGAGTTGCAGCAATGGCAGAAAGGGGTTTTTTCTCACTTCTCAGTTTGGGGAAGATGAAGATTTTAACAATTTTAATTTCAATTTCAATTTCAACTACGCATCTTAACTTATTTAAAAGTTACTTTGTTTATATTCTAATTTTAAAAATTAAACAAATATTTTATTTTTTTTCCATCCAATGTTTGAAATCCACATTAGAGTTCCAAATAAATTCGAATCGCACATCGCAAGGTACATTTGAGGGTGGACTTGCCAATCGAATTTTCTCCATACAACACTCAAATCTGAGACCCCTTGTTAAGGTGAAACACTCCCATAAGTGCGAATGTGCGATTCTTCAAATACTTTTTTATTACATCTATGATTATCTATGTCAAGTTTGAAAATTTTATTTAAAAAATCAAAGTTAGAGATAAAAGTGTGCAATAAAACTATTTTGTCATGTGATTATTATTTGATAAAAATGTTATAATTTGTAGTCAAAAAGGGTTTTATGGTCTAGTGGTTAGGACATTGGACTCTGAATCCAATAGCCCGAGTTCAAGTCTCGGTAGAACCTAAATATTTTTTCCAATTTTTTTGGTGAAACACTATTGCATTTTTTTGCAAATAAATGTACATGAAATACTTATTTAGCATAATATATAAACTAAATCTCTTAATTTTTTAAAACTGGACAAGTAAACATATATTTTTAGTATTAAAGAAAATAGGGGCAAAGTTAAAATTTGAAATTTATAAATTTAATATACATATACTTGCTCTTTAACTTGGTTTTAGATGGCATGTATATTATCCAACTTTGAATGTGCATAAGTAGGTACTAGAACTTGTATGAAATTAAATAAGTAGACGCACACGTTCTATGTGGCAAAATATACATAGAACACCCAGTAAGATGTGAATTGCTACATAAGACACAATGCGTCCACTTAGTTAACTCTATATAAGTTTTAATACCTACTCCAAAGGCATAGATATCCGTTGACACCATGTTAAAGTACATATTTATGTATTAAATTTTGAATCTTAAAATTTTTAAGTAAATAATTTGTACATGATGAATAAATTTTTTTAAAAACAAATATATATGTTTGAGCTAAAACCTTATTACATTTTCTGGTTTTTTCTAGGAGTAACACCACCCCCCTCCCCCCAAATACCTACAAAGCAAATTATTTTTCCCTTTCAAACTTTTTTTTTCTTCTGCAATAACAAACCAATCATGTCAGCACTCAACAATTTTGCTACTCATATCCTCTCTTCTTCCTCAAAGAGATCCCTTCAAGAATCCAGAAAGACTCAAACTTTATCCATCAACTTTTCTCCAACTTTCACCATACAAAATATACCAAAAACTCCATCAAGAATAAGTCTTATTTGTCCAATAAATGCTGTGACAGAAGATAAAGAAGCAGAGGCCAACCAAGAAAATGAAAAGAAAGAATCAAATGGAACTGAAATTGAAGAAAAAATCAAGAATAGCTTCTTGTCCATTTTGTTGGATAAAGATAGATTTTTTAATGCTTCAATTGTACTTGGCGCTGGTACACTTGCCATCACAAGGTTACTCACCATAGATCATGAGTATTGGCATGTAAGTTCTATCATTTTGATCTTGTTTGCTTTTGGATATTTCATATCAGGAAGGGAAAAAAAAGGGGTGGGGGGTGGGGTGTGTGGGGGGAATTATTCAAGTGCCCCCCTTGTGATCAATTCAGAGTCGGAACTAGGATTTGAAGTTTATGTGGTCTGAATTTGCCACCGAACCCATAGCTTGTGTTTAGCTAGTTAGTGGATTTTAATTAAATATGTTTGTTTCGTTTTGACTTGACACGGAGTTTGATAAAATAAGTAAGACTTTTGAATCTTGTGGTCTTATACTAAAGATATGTAGATGGTATCAAAATGTCTTTCAATCTTGTGGTGTTAAATATGTCACGTAGAAAGAATTAAAGAGTTGATGAAGAAAAGAAAGAGCATTCATTTTGAAATGGACTAAAAAGGAAAGTATGCTAAACAAATTGAAAAGGAAAGATTATATATATTTTATGGATTTTCTGTATAAGCAAAAGTTACTCGGTTCGTCTGAACCGGGTACATAGTATTGTAGCTTTACCCCTGGTGATCATAAAGGTAATGGTAGGATTGGGTTTGTCACTGGGATAGATGATGATAAAAGGAATGAACTAAGTTGGATGGTCATTACTGAAGTGATAATTAAGTAAATAGAAGTTTATACTTCATAGCAATTTAAGCTTTTAGATGAAATAGTCACAAAATTCAACATGCTAACAAGGCTGGGTTGAGGTCCAAATCTCACCGCCACCCTTTATCGGAAACAACTTTTGCGTCCTTGAACCGTGGAGAAGAATCAGGTCTGGATGTGAGGGCGCGAGTTGAAGATATATAATTAAGTAAATAAAAGTGTAGTGTCTCTGACAACTTAATCTTTTAGTTGAAATGATCGCACAATTCAACATATAGCAGCCTGCTCCCCTGTATGGTTTTAATTTTCTTGATTGTGTACTCAGGGATGGACCCTTTACGAGATACTGAGGTATGCCCCGGAGCACAACTGGATTGCATATGAAGAAGCACTGAAAGCAAATCCTGTGTTAGCTAAAATGGCGATTAGTGGTATTGTCTACTCTGTAGGAGACTGGATCGCTCAAGTAAGTACCATCTGAATAGTTACGTGTAGTTATCTTTTAGGTGATTTGATAGTGTAAAACTTTTGTGTACCATTAGTTTATGGAAGTTAAACCTTCCAAAATATTGGTAGCTGTTTTCATTAGTCTAAATTGTTTCATTTTGTTCTGTTAATTTACAGTGCTATGAAGGAAAGCCTCTTCTTGAATTTGACCGGACTCGCATGTTTAGATCTGGTCTTGTTGGATTTTCACTTCATGGTTCCCTTTCCCACTACTATTACCAATTTTGTGAGGTGATATTTCTGGCTTGTATCTTGATTGATCAACCATATCTTTTGACATATTTTGATGAAACCTAAAAGGTTTAACTCTAATGTACAGGCTCTTTTCCCGTCCAACGATTGGTGGGTGGTTCCAGCTAAAGTTGCTTTTGACCAAACCATTTGGTCAGCAATTTGGAATAGCATCTATTTTGTGGTCCTTGGTTTCTTGCGTCTTGAATCTGCATCCAATATTTTTGGCGAACTCAGAGCCACGTTTTGGCCCATGTTAACAGTAAGGAATTCTTTCGGTCTATCTTAAAATGCTTGCAATATTTAATGATCTGAAGTTGAATATAGCTATAACGGGAATAACCGGGTATTAGCTCTAGATTTTGAGTTGGTTTTCACTGTTTCAGCGGAAGTTAGTCCATGTTTACTGTTTTATCTGTTAAAATTTGGTTCGATATGAAGCTGAATATATATCTTCAATGCCAATATATTGTTGTCTTTTTTTTTTTATGATTTATCCTTTTTAGCATTGCCATGTGGTACTGGAGATTCTAAGAATGATGATACTGATCAATGCTACTCGTGAGATCTAATAAGGCCTGCATGTTTCTAACAAAGAAAATGTTTCAGCGGCCTAATTTCCATCTTCCAATCCACCAAAAGGAGTAAAGTAAACTTTTACTACTCATAAAAGAAAGAAGAAGTTTGGCATCATGAGCACAGAAAGTACTCCATGTCTTTTCATTTACCTATATTAGTGTGTAAAGCTATTTAAATTTGAAGTTTTGGATCGATATATCATTTCAGCTGAACCACAAAACGTTTCAAGACTGTTCTTCTCTTAGACCTTGCGCCATTTCAAATGTGTTCTATACAGATTATAGTGGTGTCCTTCGAGGTCTATACCCGTCTTCCTTGAACTGTTTACGAACTTTCTTGAACTGTTATCAATTTGTGGACAATACATTATGAAAAACTAAACACTTGTGCACACGTTGGACTGGACAACACCGTCAATTAAGAGAGAGAGAGAGATTTGTATTTGTTAGACTATTTCACCAACTAATCATAAATTTCTTTTAATACAACTCTTTGTTGTTCTGGTACTTGTATAAATTCTAGTTTAGCAGAGATGATTTCTTTGAGAATACTAAATCAGTTCTTAATTCTTTCAGGCAGGGTGGAAACTTTGGCCATTTGCTCACCTAATAACTTATGGCGTTATTCCTCTTGAGCAAAGACTCCTTTGGGTGGACTGTGTCGAACTGGTTTGGGTTACTATTCTCTCAACGTGAGTTTCTGTTTCTTTTTTTTTTTTTTTAAATTTAAGCCATCACCATCACAGCTTAGAGCTATTAGGTGTGGGGAGTTTCTGATTCAACTTTACAATTTCTTTCATATAACCAGTGACAAAATTAGTTGTGGAAATTGTTTGTATTCTCATCCTTACCAATATTAAGGACGAACTTACAAGGACATTATATAGACACACCGTAGATGTTGCTTGTGTTTCTTTTCAACTTCATCTATGGACATTATATAGACACACCATAGATGTTGCTTGTGTTTCTTGTCAACTTCATCTATGGATTAGACAGTCGTCTGGGAAACTATGTATTATTTACCGGCATAATACATATTTGACACACTTGGCCTCAGCTGGCAAATAAGCACTCCAACTTTGAGAGTGCACATCTAGACACCTCAACTTAATCTCAACTCACAGCTAAACGTTCCAACTCGTCCCCATTGTGTCTCGTGGACACCTAATGCTGACGTGGTACATAAATTTTGTCTAAATGATCATTTTGTAAGTTGGAGTGTTTGACTGACACAGTAGAGATGAATTGAAGTGTCTAGATGTGCATACTCAAAGTTGGAGTGTTCACTTGCCAGTTGCAGCCAAGTTTGAGTGCCTGCGTATATATTATGCCTATTTTATTTGTCTTATTTGCCATATGTATAGACTGCTTGTGCTGCATTGGATCTTTCTGAAGTAGAAAACCTCTCGAAATAGTGTATGAGCAGAATGATGTATCATAGTTTTGTTTGCGGTATCCACCTCCTGTCCATCAGCGGAGGCATATATGTTGTTTTTTACAAGAGTCTGACATTATAGAACGATTTGCAGATAAATGGCTTTCAGGTTAAGCGCTAGAACTTAAGTCGGAATCTTCAATACTTTTCTGTGCTAAGGACCGAGTTTAAACTAGAGAAGGGAAGGGGTGGGAGAGAAGTGAGGACATCCATGAGGTAAAAAAATAAGATAATATGAATCTAGAAACAAGAAGTTCACAATTTTTTCCCCTCCTTTCCATTTCGATCATTGTTGATACTTCGCAATGCTAAATGTCTATACATGTCATATTATATACACTAAAACGTCATAGAAAAGACATATATAATATCTTCCTGACGCTTGAACTTCATATTTGCAGCTACTCAAATGAGAAATCAGAGGCGCGGATATCTGAAGAATTATCGGAAGCTAAATCTGATTCATCATCGAGTAAATTGCCCGAGGTACTAGTCCAAACTAAACTGCCCTCTTCAATCTTGAAGTTCCCTCACTTTTAATGCACTAAAGTTTATTCTTCTGTTTGCATTTGCAGGATTAATCAAGCTAAACAACTTAAGAGATTTAAGTTTTATTATCAAGTTATAGTAAATAATTAGCCAGCCTTTGAGAAAGCTATTTATTTAGGAAATTAAAAGTGTATATATATAGCCAGTATGTACTCTCCTTGGCCTTACCCCTTGGTGAATGGGGGAAGATATAAAAAGAGGAGTTTAGTGTGTGGAGAGTAACTCCATGTAATATAATTCAGTCAAAAGCATATTCATCATGTATACAAATTTATATTGCTTTCTTTTTTTCACCTGCTAAGGAATCTCTCTATCTTCACGAGGTAGGGGTAAGATTTGGTACTGCCTTCCTTTTTTACCTGTCGGTTAGCTGAGGGTTTTTGGAAACAACCTATCTAGCTTTACAAGGTAGGAGTAAGATGTGTGTTCACACTAAACACTACCTCTTCTTATTCAACTAGTGAAATTACACGAATTTGTTATTGTTGTTGTTTGAAGTCAACCAACTTGATTTTGGAAAATTAAAAAAGAAATATTTTCTAACTCTAAAAATTTTCAAAGGAAAAACAAAATTATTTAGAAGAGTTTCAAAAGAAACCAAAAAATGGTTTATCAAAAGTATTTCGATTTCGAGATTTCTGGTCAAGGATAAATTCAAGCCTACATGGTCTTGTTGTTACTAAGAACAAATATTTGGTCAACTCAACATTGAGGCGCGTTTTGAAGTATGAAAATCATGAAAAGGCCAGTGATATTTACTCTGTTATAATTTGTTTGTCTTACCTTTTTTTTTTTAATCCATAAATGTTCTTCATATATTCAAATTCCAGTAGATCTCTTGGTGTATTTGAGATTATTCTTTTATTGCTGTGATATGGCTATGAAATTTTGAAACTCAATTTATAACTATTATTATCATCTTCATGATCTTGTTAGTTAACCAAATATGAAGGATTGGTCTTATATCCATACTTGAACTATCACTTCTTTTTTTTGCATATTTAATTGAGCTCTGTATTTTTAATGCTAAGAACCTTAAGCTTAAGATTGAATTCATCAACTAAGAAAATTTAAAATTTTGAGGTGTATTTTGTCTCAAACAAAAATTTACAACTACTACAGTAATCCTTTTTCCACCATAACTATTACTTATAATGTACTATATATCTCAAATTAACATTTGAAACTTTCGGCTCAAGGGCAGTTCAGTGCACAAAGTATCTTGAGATGAAGCCAATTTAGTGAACGAAACAAAGCCACAAAAAACAACACAAACATGCTAAGATAAACATCGCTTACCCCGTGTATGAAAGTGATCTCTATCAGACCAAGAGTTGGAGGAGGGTGGACATATACACGATCTAGAATACAACAACAACGCTTCAATCCCAAATAAGTTGGCGTTAGCTATATGAATCCTCTATGTCTAGAATGTTGCAGCAAGAATATATTCGCATGGAATGTAGAGGATGGAACCAATGCTACTTTCTCTATCGACACTTTGAGACGAAAGAATTTGTATATAACAACAATCATGATTGAATAACACAAAGTTAAGGTCCTTGCCTCTCATCGGAAAATCTTGGAAGCTGAACCAGAGAGTTGACTCGCGTAACGCCTTCCAATCCTGACCATTTCTGATCTTCTGTCATTGCGGTTTCTTGATCTGCTTCAGCTACTGCTCGTTTATAGATATCGTTCTCTTCAGCTGATCTGACAGTAGTGTTTCTCTGTAGAGATGGCTCGGAGTTGTGCCCGTCATCCGATTCAGCAGCAATACCAGAATGGTTACTCTGAAGTGCAGCAGATGAGAGACATTGCTCCTCCTCATTGTCAGATTCCAAGTCCATCTTTCCATCCAAGAATAAGCAAACAACAGCACAATCATCCATTTTTGAAGTCGGATATTTGATTTTCCATTCGCGTGCAGCACAGTCAACTAGGATTCTGGCAGCTGATGACCGTGTAGGCGCTGATGACACTATGTCGACCACTTCCTCGTTGCTCAAGACATCCCAAACCTGCAATCAAGAGTTTACATTAAATCACTAGGAGTTCTTTTCCCATGATAATCTTTGTTTCATCAACTACAACAGCAATAACTATAAGGCAATCTTAACCAAGCTAGGTTGGCTATATGTATCCTCACTGATCATGTCGCTCTATTTAAGTTCATCTTAGACTAATATTATACAAAATCAAATAAAAATAGAAAAACTACTAGATGTTCTCTATATTGTCTACCAGTATACACATCTCTAACCGAACTAAAGGACTTATAAAAACATAAGACCTAAAGCAAACGTATTAACATGACTAAAACATATTCTAAACAGCTCACTGGTATCTCCTGTATAAATCGTTTTCTTCCATTGTGTCCTATTTTTGCTAGATTGCATAGATTTTAAGAGCATGTAGGTCTTTCGAGATAACTTCCTTTCATGTGCTTGTAGGTCTATCTCGTTCCCTTTTAACACTTCACTAAACATGGCTTCATACCCACGCACTGGTACATGTGGAGGTCGATGCATGAGATAGATAAACCATAGGCAGACAATGTAAAAATAAATGTCTCTGAAGCCAATCGTCACAGCCACTTGGAACAGACAGAAGGGTATGAAAGAATTAGAGTAACTATGCCATTAGCCTTAAGGAAACTGAGAGAAGTTCCTATTATCCTTCAAGGTGCGAATAACATGACTAGCACAACTCCATTATGTTAATATTGTAACACTCAATTCGAGCAACTATGTATTAGACTAGTGATGCATTTAACCATAGTGATAAAGAAATCAATAAAAGGTCTTTTGTCATGCTATAACGACTTGGCACACACAAGTTCTTCAAGCTAGCTTCAATTTATAGTTTCTTGTTAAGTACTAAAACAATGTTAATGATTATTAAGATCGACTATTATAGCAAGATCGGAGATGCAGAAAGTAACACTAATCAAATCCTCCTCCTCGGCACAGACATAAACACCTACTATTGGATCTTCCAGATGCATGACAACCTAAATGTCTTTCTAATCCCCAAACCTGGAAAGTTACATAATAGACAATCCACCGTAATAGTTTGACGGAATATCTTTTTTCAAGTACTTATGAAGAAAATACTTCACACCTAACTTCACAAGTGAAAATGATACTAGTTCTTTAGCCATGTGGTTACCAGTCAAAATTGATGCTTGGAACTCACATTGGTAGATTATTGTTAATGAGTACGTAATCTCCAAAATCTTAACAAGGAAGCAACAATAAGTGACCGTATATGATTAATCAACTTTCATGTTCATTCATGTAATTTAAGTGACCATTTCAGGCTGGCTTCAGCACTTCTACAAGTTAATTTAAGGTAGCAACTTATATAGAGATTCAGACAGCTTAACATACCCCGTCAGAAGCAAGAACAATGAACTTGTCCCTCTCTGTAAGAACCCGGTGAGAAAATTCTGGTACAGATATTACCCCATAGTCCTTCACACAAAAATCGCCAAATGCTCGAGCCATTGCTAATCCAGGGGCATTATCAAATGGCAACCAAACTCTCTGCACTTCTGGCTCATCTTGCAATGCAAAAACCCGACCTTTACACTGTTTTATCCTCTCAGCTTCCTCTGGCAACGAAAATACTAGATTATCTAATAGGGACTCTGAAATGGTTAAACGTTATGAAAGATTCACTATAAAAGAGACATACTAGGTAAATCAGGCTTCAGATCAACAGTCAACTGGACTGCGACCATCGAATCATTGTCATCCTTTGATGCCAAGATTGCCCGTGAATCACCAATATAGCCCATATAAAGGTTTGAACCCTTAAAACAGAAAAGAACAATAATAAGCTCAGAAATGGAAAAAATAGCATGAGGAAAGTAATGACTAATGTGACTCCACCTACCTGTTTTACTAGAGTAATAGCAGTGCTACCACTGCAAAAGCAATCTAAATTAGGTTGGGACCTCAATTCTTTGTCCATCGCCTTATACGATTGAAGAAAAGCTTCTCTCCGCTGAGTGTCCACTTTATCCGCGTTCACTTGATCCTTATCAGGATCCACAACTTCCGATCCTGGATTCTCATTGCAGCAATCGGCAGCAGAACCATTGCCCTTTGATTCAACTGACTGCAAAAAGGACATTAACTTCAGGGGCAGTGCATCCCTTACTTTGCGAGCAACAAGATGACCATGTGGACCATGGCCATCAAATACCCCACAAAAGGTCACATCTTCCGCCATGAAATCCTACATAGGGTACATTCATGTAAAATATCAGATTTTTGAAAGATGCAAAAAGGTAGTTCTATGCATATAAGCACGACTTACTTCCCACACAATCATCGCATCCTGGTTAATGCCTTTACGTCCTTGTTGTGTGTATATGCAAGAAGTGCGGCTCTTGCCATTAGTAAAGATCCGATTGGGAATTGAACTCAGATGCTTCAATGCAATGACATGATCAGAAAAAGTTCTTCTACTCCTTTTTCGGCTAAACATGCTTATTCCTAAACATTCAGGTGAAACTTTTTCTCCATTGCTCCTGCTACTACAAGTACTACTGCTCGTCGACACACAACCCCCCATTTTGCTCAGACTGACAAAGCGACCATCTGATTGACAGCAAAGCTAATAAAATGGATCTCACAGGATTCACAGATCAGATTTATGATCAAGCAAAGCAAAACAATGTTGAAATGACAAGATTCCAGCAATGCAAGAAAGGTGCTTTTGGACTTAATGGAGATAACTAAGCTCTCTGTGTCCTTGGTCAAATGTCAATGCAGTCAACTGAAAAAACAGCTAAACAAAAGAAGAAGAAGAAGAAAATATTACTTAATGCAATTGTTTATTTAAAAGTACATAAGAAGATGGAAATGCCAGCAAGTATAGAAACCAGACTAATCAACCAAATCATTGTTTAAAGGGAATTGCATGTGAGCTATGAATATTATACTCCCTCGGTTTCATTTGTTTGTCTTACTTTCCTTTTTAGTCCGTTTCAAAAAAAAAAAAAGTCTCGTTCCTTGTTTTGGTAGCTCTCTAATTCTATCTTTCCACATGACATGTTTATGATCAGAAGATTAAAGAATATTTTGGTACATTTGACATCTCTTTTTTATTTAAGATACAAGATATTTTCTTAAACTCCGTATCAACTATCTCTATTTATACAAGTCAAATTGATAGAAATTATGGACTCATTCATCAATAAAAAGACAATGAAGTTATGAAGACATAAAGCATGGAACTTTGAAAAAACATTAAAAAAGACAAGAAAAACAGGAAACAATATGCCCTCATAAGTTGTCAAGGCTTCACACTTTTCTATAGCTCAATTTCCAAAAAATGAGAAGTAAAAAGTCCTAAAGATAAGCTTGCATTTGGCCATAGATTTTGAGAGTAGATTTAAAATATTATCTTCAAATATTTGTCTGATCATGAAATTTCATCATATTACTTCAAATATTTTCATGTTCTCAAAAACTAGCTCAAACCAGTTTTCGGACTTTGTTGACTTCCACTCGTAAAACTTCAAATTGAATTTTTTTCAAATAAAATACATGTCCAAACAAACTTCAAAAACTCAAATTTTTAAGTTTACAACTTTAAAATCTACTGTCAAACGGGAGCTTAAGGAATGCTACTATAAAGAAGAGAAATATAGATTCTGTACACAAATGCAAAATTTTAGCCTTTTCAGATTGGGTAAAAACTAAAGAAAGTGAAAAATGTAAAGATAAAGAAAAGAAAACAGAATCTTTGGGAACACAAAAATGTCAAAAGCTCCAAAAGCAAAGGTACACTAAATTAATCAAAGCATTATAACAAACAAAACAAATACAAATAAATCTAATCTCAGCTACACATCACCAAAACCAAGTTGCTAAAAACCACAAAACAACATAAAATACAAAATCATTCATGGGATTTTACCACATTAAGCAAAAAGCATTGACACCCAAATTGTAAAAACTGGAAAATAGAGCATATAAAAGAGATAAAGGACCACAAAGTAACTTTTAATACAAAATCATTTCTGGGGTTTTGCAGATTAAGCAGAAAGAGTTGACACCCAAGTTGTAAAAACTGGTACAGATGAGAAACAAAGGTGAAAAAAGATGAGATTTTTAAACCTAACAAGCAAAATATGAGTGTACGCATTGAAAATTTGTGGCTGCAAGATGTGTTCAATTTTAGTTGGGATTCTACAAGGTTTATTCGATTTCAGTTAGTATTCTTGGAGGCTATTCAATCATAATCTGTAATTCATGTCTATATAAAGGGTAATACACATCTCGAATATTCCGCAAATTTATGAAGATCCAAATCATCCTCGTTCGAGAAATATCCATCTTTTATGACAGAACAATAAGGAGGAACAAAATTGTACTCACAATCTCGATCAATAAAATTATGTTTCTTAGTATTTTATTTATGATTGCAATTTATTTAGAAATTGAAGAAAATATGGATATATTAGTAATAGTAGTACCTTTTGAACTTGGTTCTGCTGAAAATTCAAGATTTCTGAAACATAGGGATTCAACAATGTAGTTCCAATTAGCATATGAATTCTCTCTTCTTCTTTTTTCTTTTTTAACAAAATTTTCAAAAAAGTATGGAGAACAGTAATATAATAATAGTAAGAAGCAAGAGAGCTGGCACATTAATTGCAAAAGTAGAAAGTAGGAGAGATTTTTAGCTCTCAATTTTCTTCACTTTCCACCAGGAAATTATGATTCAATCTTCCTCCAATTCCATTTTTGAGGGATATAACACTTTGTTATTATGTATTGTTTCATAATATATTGTATTATATTATATTATTTTATTGAATACAATGTTTGAATAGATTGTATCATTTTTCATCGTTAATTGGATGATGTTACATATTCATAATTTCAATGATAAATCTACAAAAAATTATAGTGTATGGAATAGAGATACTATGAAATGGCATGGTAAATGATAGTAAAATAGAATTATTTTTATAATAAGTAGAGACAAAATGAGAAGAAAATATTAATGTAACAACGCGATACCATTATATATGAGTCGTTATATAAAATGGATTTTTTCGTTGTTACGTAACGATGAATTTAAAAGATACGATACAATAGAATTTAAGTAACAATCAAAACAAATATTATATTTAGACTAACAATACAATATAATATAACGAGTAACAACCATCAAACAAGGTGTAATACTTCCTTCATTTTAATTTGATACAAAATTTAAGAAAAAATATTATGATTTTAAATTAAAATTATATAGAATATATTAAAATGTCTTAATCTTATATTTTTAAATATGTCGTATGAAAAGTCATAATTAAAAAGTTATGACATTTGAATTCATGCATTGTAGGATTTATTCTAGCTATCTCCGGATCTCATAGCTCTCAATCACTTTATTGATCATCAAGACATACCATGAATGTTGAGTGAAGGATTCTTAATTAATAAAACTTCAAAAAAAAAAATCCTTTTGAAAAAAACTAATCAAATATAAATATAAATATGATAGAAATGGATATGTGAATTTAGTCATGTAGCAATAATGACCTTCACAAGTATATATTTAATTTTTGGTCCAATTGACAAGTGTATTATTGTTTTTTTTTGGGTCCAATTCACATTCACAAGTATATTGTTGTCCAACCACAAACCCCAGAACTACTCTCCATCTATGAGCTGTGTCTATATATTTTCCGTCTCAAATTATTTATCATTTTAAAAATTTAAAACAAACTAATTATTTATTTTATTTTATTCTATTCCTAAAATTATTTACTCTTGAGTACTACAATCACTTCGATAAAATAAATATTTAATGAAGAAAAAATTTACTCTACTTAACTAAAATATAGTTTTAAAAAAATTTATTTAAGAAATATGTAAAAGAAAAATATAACATATAATTTGACACGAAAAGAGTAATATTAGTGTGACATTGGACAACTTGTAGCTGTCTAGCTGTGGCCATTTCTTGTGTGGACCAAAAAAAAATAAAAATCCACTTAATACATTCTTTTTTACGTTATTAAATCATGATAAGTTAAAATAATTTAGTATAAATACTGACAGATAATAAAAAAAATTATCGTTGTTATTGTTTTTATTAATCATTATCTCATAACAATCTCTCCCCGATCCAGAGCCTCAGAGCCGACCCAAGCAAAAACTAACACTTGATGAGGACCTGAGTTTTGGGCTTGCTTGGGATAGAAACTTGGAGCGATAGAGCCGATCCAAGTGAAGATCACCACTCGAAGCCCGGAGGTTTGAGGAGCAACCCGAAAAAGGGAAAGCCATGGAAATGATAAACTCGCTAAATATTACTGAGTCCCCAGAAAAAAAAAAAAAGGGGGGGGGGGGGGGGAGGGGACTAAATTGTTGGGCTTGCTTGTTACATATTGGACTGGACCAAGTTTTCATGCTTGGGCTAATTTCTTGATTTCCAGTCCAAAAAAAATTGATATCCAAACCTAATCCTAACATAATCTATAAGACCACTTACTCTTGAAAAATGCCTAATAAATAATGAGTTCAATCCATTCTGTTTAACAAAAATATGAATATTCCTTGCTCATTTGCAATGGAAAAATTAATTTTTATCATCCAACCCATGAATAATCATTTCTAGCTTTGCTCAACCTTATCTCTTCTAGAGACGTTTTAGTAACACATTCTATAGGAATCAAATAATCCTATCTGATCAAATATCTAGCGACAAATTTTTATATTATTTTAATTACGATATTCCTTGCATAGATTCTATTAAAACAGGTGTCGTAGCCAGAGTAGAGTTAAATTTATATGAAATTAAATATAAATAGAGAAAAGGGAGAAGAAAAAATTGGTCAAAAAGATGATGAAATAATTATACATTGGAACCCAAGATTTGTAAATTGGACTGATTCTATAGTCAAAATCTGATATCCAAACAATTACCTAACATAAATACATAATATGTAAGACCACTTCCCCTTGACTGGGAAACCTTCTCAAAAAACATTTTAAAAAATAAATAAATAAAAATAATAAAATAATATAGGAGATTTAATAAAATGAGAATCTTATTCCCTTAATCTAGTCAATAATCTTATCTTTTTCTTCAAGTTTCTATAGCAAGAATATTCTTGTTTTAATTGTCCTTTGCCTTTTAATTTATACGATATATTTTTCCTTTTATAGTTTATCTTTAAAAGAATGTTACTATATTATTTCACGTAGAAATAACTTAATTTTAACATAATAAATTTATAGTCACACAAATATTTATAACTGGTTTTAGATCATATATTTTAAGTCTTTATTTATTTTTCTTCAATGTCATGCTAGTATAGTACCATTACACACTACAATAATAAAGGATTTTACAACAATAATATAATTGCCGCCAATATTATATTTAGAAACAATAATAAATATAAATATTTATAATCAACACTTTATATAAATATAGTTAGAAGTTTTAGCGACTTTGGATGTAATGACATGCTCAAGTGTAATAATATGTAAGCCACACTAAACAAGTTTTGCGTGACCAGTTCGGACAAAAAAAATATGCAGGATATTTTTGAATCTGTGACCATTCAGGGGCGGACCCACGTGGGTTCCAAGGGGTTCACCCTAACCCCATCGACAAAAACTTACACTGCATATAAAAGGTAAATTTTCTATATTTATGTAGATATATTAGTTTTTAACCCTCTTATGAATAAAAAGCAAGTTGTAG